ACAACTGCCTTGTTTGGGGAAATCAAAACAATAATAAATTTGATGATTATATTAAGGAGTTTTACTCTAATTTGCCTAGCTGCACTTGGTTTAATTTGGTATGGCACGCTAAGTATGCATTGAGATACACGAGTTTCATTTGGTTGGCTATTGTAGGAGGCATTAAAAATGTGGATGAATTGCATAAAAGGAACATATCTATCCCTTTAACGTGTAGTTTATGTTATGAATATCCTGAAAGTGATTCTCACTTATATATTGAATGCACCTACTCATATGCTATTTTTTCGGATATCATGTCTAGCTCTAAGCAACTCCTTCTTAGGCCCACTATTCTCCAACTTTTAGAATGGATTGACGGAGAACATAGTACCCATCAGCCGGTTAAAAAGCTTTACTTTCTCATTACTGGATGTTGCATTTATCATATCTGGAAAGAAATGAACAATAGGAGATTTGGGAACAAATTTCAAAGCACGATCACCACTTCTTTAAGTATTAAAAAAGCTATTTTTGAGAAACTTATTAAGTGGAAGAACTGATCAAAGTATCGGAATTGATTTAGTTGAGGATGCTCTTTTGTGGTTTTATTTCTGATAGTTGGAATCATTTATGCTGCTTTTGACGGCTTTTGTTGGAGCTGTAATTTGAGATAGTTTGTATGTTGGCCCATTGAACACTGATTATTCTGCTTCGAGACACTTTACATGGAATACGGCTACTGGGTTTTGCTTCGTCTGGACTATGATGAGGCTCCAATTTTGAATCCCCTTTGGATGGTCTTCGGGAAACCAAGGGTCTGACATTTTGCTGTTTTCATGTTAATATCCCTGAGTCCAGATTTTTTGGCTTTTGGAGCATTTCTTCTTTGCGGATTTTTGCTTTCTAGCTATTTTCATGTTTTTTGCATTCTTGTATGTGCTCTCTTTTGAGCATTTTTTTGTGCTTCTGTTGAGCAGTTCCCTTTGTTTGGGACCTTTTTTGTTCACTTTCCTTTCATGTAAGTCTCTTTTTACACCTTCAATATATGGGCTAAAGCCCAAATTTAAATAAAAAAAAACCGACTTACTATTAAGGACTCAGACACGTCATTATACCGTTGTACTTTCTTGGTTTGATTCTTTACTAGTTATCTCTATATATACATGTGTTTAGCTTGTCATAGAACAACACAGATAATGCAATTCTCCTTTCATTTCCTTTCTCTCTTTCGGCTTCCTCATCTAGCTCCATCCGCTCCTGTCATGTTCACATGGTATCAGAGCTTAAGAGCTCTTCAGCGACTTCTTGATTTTCATGGCCGAAAAAGATTCGGTCAGGTCTCGCCGGACAATGTCAAATGTTTCTCATCAAGAAACCAAGCTGCTCATTCCCTCCCACCTCAAATTTATTATATCTAATATCAAGAATCTCATCCCTACTCTCCTCACATTTGTGAATTATGCGATATGGAGGTTGCAACTTCATCAACATTTCTTCGTAAATGGGTACGGTGAACATCTCACCGGATTTGCTATATGCCCATCGGAATCTACCATCACCGACCATGTTCGTTGGAAACCGATAGATCAAAATCTTGTATCTGCTCTTTTTGTCTACAATTTCACCCTCAATTCTTCCTTACGTTCTTAATCTCAAAATCACTCTTGACATCTGGATCACTCTAGAACGACGTCTTCAACCCACAAACTGCTCTCGCGTCTTTCAGCTCAAGAATGAGCTCCATTAAATTCAGATGAAAGATTGTACGTTACCTACAATCTACAATCCTTTCAAGATGGCTATACGAACTTTGCTTCAACCGATAAGTCTTGACGACTTTTACTCCTTACTTAGTAGCGAAGAGATAAATCTTCTTCATAAACATCGTCAAGAGAGTCAGCAATCCTACTCTGTGGCTCTCTTTTCCAATCAAGAGCAATAAAAATAAGTTTCACGGTCGTGGCTCATCGCAATGATAATAGCTTCCTGCGGATTCTCAAAACTTTGCAAGAACCACCTCACCGAGACCAATGTGCCAGATATGCGGAAAAATGGGTCATACAACATTGAATTGCTGGCATCGCTGCAATCTAAGCTATGCGTCTCCATCCAATCCAAGAGCCCTCACAGTTCAACAATAAAATGCCATCACCAATGACTGGATCTTGGACTCAGGCGCATCATCTCACCTTACCTTCGATGCAACGAATCTTCAACATTCTATGCCATATAATGGATTCGATTCGGTCTCCATCGCGAACGAAAACACTTTACCGATCCAAAACTCGGGTCAAGGCATTCTGCCTCTACCTGAGTCTCACCGTAAGCTTCGTCTTCAGAATATTCTTCACGTTCCCTCCCTCTCGCATAATATTTTATCTGTCTCTCGTTTAACTTATGATAACAATGTTTCAATTTCATTTAATGCTAATGATTTCACTATTAAGGATCTTCAGGACCAGAAGCTGCTTCTCCGAGGTCCTAAACGAAATGGGTTGTACCACATCAAGGTTCCTACCAATCATAAGAACATTGCTCTGGCAACGGTCCGATCTTCCAATCTTTCCTGGCACGCTCATCTTGGCCACCCTAACCGTCGCACTCTTCAAACTTTGGCAAAACTTTTCCTGCTATTACTCCCCGTTTTTCTACTGATGTTTGTATCTCCTGTAATGTTTCAAAAAGTCATAAGCAACCTTTCTTTACTAGTGAGTCGGCCTGTAATAAACATTTTCAGCTCGTTCATTTGGATGTTTGGGGTCCTGCACCCTTACTTTCTATAAATGGCTTTCGTTATTACGTCATCTTTGTCGACCACTTTACTCGCTATAGGTGGCTGTATTTACTTAAATCTAAAGATGAAGTGTTTAGTAAATTTTAATAATTATGTAATCTCATAACAATAAATTTAATGCTATAATTTAGACATTTTGGTCTGATGGCGCCGGCGAGTTTACCAGCAGTAATTTTTCTAATTGCCTAATTCAACATGGCATAACTCACCAACTCAGTTGTCTGCATACGCCAGAATAGAATGGCACCACTGAACGGAAACACAAACATCTTCTCGATCTCACTCGCACACTTCTTCACGTAGCTCATCTACCCAACATCTTCTGGGTCGAAGCTACTTCAACGACCAATAATCTCATAAATCGTCTTCCATCTTCTATCATTCTAAATCAAATGCCGCATTTTTGGTTATGCATCTTACAACCATCTTCGCACCTTCGGTTATTTATGCTTTCCTTGGACAAAACCATACGCACCAACAAAATTGTTTCCTCGCTCATAGGAATGCATTTTTCTCGGATACTCCACTCAGCACAAGGGATATCGCTACCTCAATTTACATCAAAATCGTGTTTACATATCGAGACATGTGGTCTTCTATGACATATTTTTCCTTGTTCTAGCACAATAAACAATCTGCCTTCAGACACTACTCCGGCATCTTGCACTCCTCTTCTTCTTATTCCCACATCTTCCATACGTCAAAGCACTAATCTTCAATCTATTCAGTAGGCTAGCAGTATATCCAACCATTCTCTCAATTCAATTTCTCCTGACAGTTCCACGGTTCCTCTCAACAATACGAACACGTCCACCAATCCTCCTCCACGATACCACCTGCAAACCCGTCTCTGCTCCGGAATATCAAAGCCAAAACAAATTTTTGACTTGTCAGTCGTGCCTTCTACAGTTCACACCCCCACTTCTTATACTGAAGCATCAAAACATGGTAAGTGGTGACAGGAAATGTTAAATGAATATCTCGCCTTGCCCAAACAAGGCACTTGATCTCTGGTTCCTGCTCTGCCTGACGCACTTATCCTCGGGAGCAAATGGATTTTCAAGACAAAACTTTTTCCAAACGGTTAGGTCTCTCGCTACAAGGCTCGTCTCGTAACCTAAGGTTGTTCTCAAGAGTTCGGTGTCAATTTTATCGAAACCTTCAGCCCGGTGGCTAAAATGCTCACAATTCGCATGCTTCTCACTGTCGCTTTTGCAATATCAATGGCCGGTTACTCAGCTAGACATTTTGAATGCCTTTCTACACGGCGATCTGAACGACGATGTGTACATGAAACAACCTCGCTGCTTCGAAGATATTCAAAATCCTCAGCAAGTTCGTAAACTTCACAAATATATTTACGGTCTTAAGCAGGCACCGCGACAATGGTTTCAAAAATTTACCACATTTCCTTCAGACTCTCGGATTCCAATTCAGTAAGGCTGATCCCTCACTTCTCCTGTTTACTCAAAATGACATCTATCTTTTCATTCTAATCTACGTCGACGACATGCTCATTACAGGAAACAACTCCTAAAAAATCCAATACACATTGCAGCGGCTTCAATCGGAATTCAATCTAAAACATCTAGGAGATGTTTCTCTCTTTCTCGGCATTCAGGTGATCAAAATCAACTCTGGCTACTTTCTAAATCAATCACACTACGTAAATGATCTTCTTCGTCATGCAGGTATTTCAAATTGCAAACCTTCCATGACTCCTGCAACGAAAAAACAACCCAAAGGCACGGACGATCAACCATATGCGGATCCCCAACAATTTCTCAAACTCGTCGGATCACTACAATACTTATCAATTACAAGACCATATATCGCTTTCACAACTAATTCAATTTTTCAACATATGCAACATCCTCGCAATTGCGATTATCAAGCACTCAAGTGGCTTCTGAGGTACATCAAAGGAATGATAAACTTCGGTCTCCTGCTCACAACCGGTGATCTTCATTTACATAGTTACACCGATGCGAATTGGGAGGCTAATCCAACTGACCGCAAATCAATGTCAGTTTTCTGCACTTTCCTTGGCCCCAACTTGATCTCTTGATCGGTCAAAAAGCAAACTACCGTCGCCCGATTATCCACGGAAGCGGAATATCGTTCCCTCTCATCTGCTACCTCGGACACTATTTGGATTCGTCGACTTGCGGCAGAACTTCGCATACCTCAAAATTCTCCTACAACAATACATTGCGACAACACGTCAACTATCGCGCTCGCCAACAATCCCGTTTTCCACGCAAGGATGAAACATATCGAAATTGATTATTACTTTATCAGTGGACACATTCAACAGGGCAACATTAATATTGCTCACATCTGCTCAATAGATCAAATCGCTGATATCCTTACAAAAGCTCTGCCTATCAACCAGTTTTATGCTTTAAGGTCCAAATTAACCATTCGTTCACAGAATAATTAATTTGAGGCGAGCTGTTAAGGACTCAGACACGTCATTATACTCTCGTACTTTCTTGGTTTGATTCTTTACTAGTTATCTCTATATATACATGTATTTAGCTTGTAATAGAACAGATAATAAGAAGTCCAATTCCAATATCTTTATTTCGAGTGGAAATGCATCGTAGACCAATATATATATCGTCTGCTAATACACGATAAATTAGTGTTTGGACAAAAATCTTTTCCGTCATCCCATTTTTAGGACTCACGGAAATACTTCGGATAGTACCACAATCCGTTCTACGTACAAGAATGTGTTGAACTACTTCAACAAGTCTACGCGTGAGGTATCCAGCATCTGATGTTCGTACAGCAGTATCTACAACTCCTTTGCGGGCTCCGTAGCAAGAAATTATATATTCTGTCAAAGAAAGTCCTTCCCGTAAATTGCTTTGAATGGGTAAATCAATCATTTGTCCTTGAGGATCCGACATTAATCCTCGCATACCTACTAATTGGTGTACTTGAGATGCATTTCCTCTAGCCCCCGAAAAGGACATTAGATGGACTGGATTAGAGGGATCAGTCATCCGAAAATTAGGATTCATTTCTTGTCTCAAATATTCACTTGTAGCATACCATATCTCAATGGATTGACGTAATTTTTCTACCACATGTACATTCCCATAATGATGGTTTTTCTCTAAAAGAAAACTTTGTTGTTCAGCGTCTTGAACTAACCATCCCTTAGAAGGTATTGTTAAAAGATCATCAATCCCTAATGAAATAGATGTAGCAGTGGCTCGCTGGAAACCCAAAGCCTTCACTTGATCCAGGATATGTGATGTATATGCCATTCCGAAATGATCTATTAATCTGCTAATAAGTCGTTTCATAGCAGTTCCATCTATCACCTTATTGTGAAAGACCAGATCGGTCCGTTCTGCCATAAGGACCTCCATATTCTGCTGAGTAAGATTCCACAATGGGCCTGGGTCAGTGATTCGAAAACTTCCTTTCCTAAATCTTGATTCACACAGAAATTAAGAAATTATGATACCGGTGAAATTGGAGAGACCCGAATTCCCACAAGTATGGGCATCACTAATATAATTTCTTAGTTTTTATATAGAGCATGAGTTAGATAGCCTATGAGTAGGCCTGCCAAAACCCCTGTATGGCTTCTTCTATTTCTCGATAAAAAGAAAGATGACCAACAGTAGTTCGAATGTATATACAACGAATTTCTCTTTTTACACTTCCTATTATTCGATAGTGCTTATAAATCTCATTATAATTACCAAAAGATTCATATTGAACTTCGATGGGAACTTCTCTTGAGCCAACGACGCGTTGATCTAGTCTCCACCGGAGCCACAAAGGACTATTGAAATGGATTCGTTTCTGCCGATAAGCTCCAAGTGCATCATAAGAACTAGAAAAATACGGCTCTTTTGTATACTTAAAGTCATTCTTGTAAACTGTTTCCTTTTTAGAGTTTCTGCAATTAGAATTATATTGATTATACCTATTTGCACAAATACCTCGGGGATTCCCGATCGTTAATACATAGAGTCCAATAAGCATATCTTGAGTTGGTACGGAAACGGGATCTCCAATAGCTGGAGACAAGAGATTCATATGAGAAAACATAAGTAAACGAGCTTCTGCTTGAGCTTCCAAAGATAAAGGTACGTGAACAGCCATTTGATCCCCATCAAAGTCTGCGTTGAAGCCCTTACAAACTAATGGGTGTAAACAAATAGCACGCCTCTCCTACCATTCTCCTTTCATTTCCTTTCTCTTCCGGCTTCCTCATCTAGCTGCGTCCGCTCCTGTCATCTTCACACTTACCTCGTCTCGTAAAATGCCTCGTCCGTTAAGTCTCTTCGCCTTAGCTATCTTCGACTTCGACTCTCCTCATTAAAACTAAGAAGAAGAAAAAAAAAAGGTAGGAGCTATTCTATAATCCTTCTTCCACGCTCCAGCAAGCAATTTCCCAATCCGATCTTCCTCATAGCCAAGTATCTGATCCCGCTTCCACAATAGCTATAGAGCCCCAAGCCGTTCCCTCAACTTGCTCTGATTCATTCCCTAAGCTCCAGCTATCTTGCCGTTTCACCCATCAATCCCTTTACATGCTAACTCCTCTAGCCCTCTTTGCCTCTATCTTTGCATCCACACTCAGTCCCTAACAGAACAATCTTGCTTCAGACCGAATTTCATATACTTGAGAGAAAGAGAGAACAATTTTGAAGTTCAGGGAAGTCTTCTTTTGCTTCAGTCAAGCAGCGATTTTTGGATGAGGATCATCATGCACTGATTTGCTAGTTCAGTTTTCCTCGCCGGCGGAAACGTGACAAACAGCGGAGAAGAAGAGCGGAGCAGGGAAGCTGGTGGCGGAGGAAGCAGCTCCGCAAGTGGGTATTCGCCCAGTCCCGATCTCAAATGGAGGTTCAATCAGACGCTTAGAAACGTGCAAAAGTTTCTCAAATGTCGCAGCTTTCCTGGTAAAGTTCTGGTAACACGCAAATTATAAATATGAATGAGAGCATATCACCAAGACCTCCAGAGCACAAAAGAAGTTATGCCGAGAATTACTTTAGGAAAGGTAGACATGAGGTCCATTCTTTTGATAAGAAGGTCGGGTTCTGGAAGCTCTGGAAGTGCTTAGTAATCCTTCCATTGCAAGAGTGCCTTCAGTGAATAATGAAGTTGCATCCTTGATTTCCCAAGAATTATACCTGATGTAACCTTCTTCCAAAATGAACAAGTTCAGAAATCATTGGAGCGTATTCTTTATACATGGGCTATTTAGCATCCAGCAAGTGGGTATGTCCAATAAGAATGGACAGTAGATTAAGATCAGTACAGGAATCATGCTATTGATTTGTCGTAGAAGTCCTGGTTACATTTCATGAAAGATACTTTCAATTGAAGATGGCAGAGTCTTATAATCTTTTAATCAATTGTTACACTGTAACAAAAAGGCGATTTCATTGAGCAGTTCAATGAGAAGCTTCTTGTCAAGCAAGAAAATGAAAGTCTTCATATCCTAGATGTTAGGAATTCAGAACTAACTGAAGTTGGAAAGACACAATTCATGAATCCTTTAGCATTCATCTTCCTGTATGAGAATCATCTTTTATATATATATATATATATATATATATATTTATTTGTGTGTGTGTATAAACAAGAATTCTATAAAATAAAAAATGACGAGGGAGAATTCAAAAGAGAGTAAAAAAATAGCTGTCCTTGATTTTTGTGCATTTAGTCACTTTCGACGCCGTCGTCACATCCCACTTGCGAAGGTATAAAATTTTCTTAACTCAAAATCCTGCATTCAGCATTTGCATAAAGCTGGAAAACTGTCCATACACGCTTTTCTCTAGTGTGATGGGAAGGGAACCCAGTGTGATGTTTATGGTGAGGCGGGTAGACCCCGTACACGCTTTTCTCTAGCGTGGCGGGGACAAATATAAAAATTATATTTTTTTGAAACTAGTGCCCGAGGACCCATACACGACTTTATATGGTGTAGTGGGATTGAAGACTTTATGGCCATGGTGTCACCCGACATCTACCGCACACGCTTTTTCTCTAGCGTGGCGGGAGGCCTAGTTTCCTGTAGTTTCGCCCAAATGGGGAAGACGCCGGGAGGCTACCAAATTTTCCAGTGGACGAGGGACCTGACTTGGACCAATTTTGAACAATTTGAACTCTGAACTTGGACTCGAATTTGAGCAAATACAAAGCAATTTAATTCAATTTGAACTTTGATCGAACTTGCAAATATTTGACTCAAATCAAACTCAAATGATTGACAAAGACTTATGAACTTAAGTAAGGTAAAATTGAAATAAGAACTTGAACATTAAGTGAACCATGATTTAAGAATTTGAACTCAGTTTAAACCATAGTGGACTGAACTTGAATTTGACATGGAACAAGCAAAGTGAACTCAAACTCAAACTTGAACGCATATTGGACTTGCATTTGAACAAAAAGACTTTGAACAAGACTCAGACTGCAGAGGACTTCAACAAATGCAAAAGAGCTCGAACTCAAATAGAATGAACTGAATTTGAGCTCAATGTGATTACATGGGACATAGAACATGAGCTTGCTACTTGGACAACAAAGGATTTCAATTAATTTTGGATAGTAGGGAACATATTCTAAAACTTGAATGATTAATGAATACTTGTATTTAAATGAAGTGATATTGAAATGAGCTCGAACTTTAATTTGACTTGGACATAAATGAACATTGAACATGAACATAATTTGAGCTTGAAGAAAAAAATGATGAGTAACAAGAGGTTTGATTTGAATAATAATACAAAGATCTGATGGGATGCTAAAGAATCATAGTAAGTGTTAATTAAGAAAGATGTGGTTCTTCCCAATTTCAGAAAAGCAAGCAAAGCCTCATGTGTGAACTCATTATAAATGGAAATATAAAATTTATGTGAGCAATAACATTCAAACTATAGCGATCACCTCAATCAGAATGAATAGATGGATGAATTCGACACAAAGCTTATCATATAAATTGCAAATCATCTTTGAGAATAAAGAACTTCCAAGTGCAACTTGTTTGCAAGAAACAAAAGATTTTGGGAATACAGCTTGACTACGAAAACATGATATGGGAGATCTTTGGACCTCAATAGGTCACTTGCAATGTTAGAGATGACACATCTCTAATTAATAATTGGGATAAGAAGGGTGGAAAACTATTTATGAACTACAATGCAAATGCTTCCAGTAAATAGAGTGATTGATTCATGACAACTATGGTAGTTAAAGTGCAAAATTTATAACTGGTGGCAACAAGAAATATACAAACAATAAATGCTTGGAGAAAATTGATTGTGAATACAGCTCGACTACTAGTCTAATGACAAATCATGGAGGAGCATATGGACTTGCATACAAGTGATGGTAGGAGATATGTTTCAGGTATGATAAGTCCCCAATGCACATAGATATTCTTGCAAAGCCCCAATTTTGGACAAGCAACAAATTCAAAAATCTCCCTAAGATTGATGAATGCTTAGAGATATGCAAGTGAATGTATATAAAGTTCATGGTGGATAATCGACCTTGCAACATTGAACTCAAGTCATCCATGAACAATAGTCAATAAGAATTGTGAGACAAGTGACGATTAATATACATGTGAATACACTGGTCTTCTATGACGTAAAGATGATACACAGTGAATGTGACAACACCCTACAGTTCATATGCAAACAAGAACCATGAACTCACTACAAATATGAATACCTAAAAAAAATTGTATGAGCATCTATAAACAATTGAATAGATTGTTCACTTACATAGTAGTTTTACCTACAACACGCAAAGGGTGCAGCATGTCCACAAATGAAGCAAAAGAGTCATAAAGAAGATAGTTTCTTTGCTGCCAATTCTAGTTGACTCATAAATCAACACACAAATGTGCATGTGAATGCATCAACTTGCCAACTGGTGCATACAGAAAGATTACGACAAGTATAGGCTTCTAAAGTTATTGTAGAGGACCTGTTATACATCTAGTGTATCACACATGATCATTCCAAATACAAATGCCTATGAGCTACCTCAAACATAAGCAGAAATACAATAGATGTAAATTCATACGGGTCACCAAAGAAAATCCATTAAATATTCAAGAATGCTCTCGCACATGCACTATAATATATATGCATATCAAAACACAAATGGGGCAACTGCAATCAAAACCTGCATGGACCCCGGCGAGCATGTTACGGGTACACACATGATGTCTAGGGATACTACATGGGTCAATAAATGAACCACAATTCGAGCTTAATTGTTTTATATGGATAAATAGTAGTCAACATGACTCAAACTCTCAAACAGATATACGATCAGGGTGTCAACCAGAATATATTTTTATAAGTTCATATAAGGCCTTCAAGGCCGATGACAAAAGAAATTCATCAATAAAGGCACGAGGCCTGCAAAATCCAATCCTCTATTATAGCTCAATAGAGTTGATAATGTTCAATCCACAAATAGAAACGACCCCAAACACTTCGAAGATGGACGTATTGAATGCAGTTCTCAATAGAAGGGGTCAATTTCAAATATTCAAAATGTCACCCAAGCACTCACAAAATCAAAATTTCCAAAAATAATAAACTCTATGATGTTTAAAATTGAAATCTAATAATATAATACTTAAAGCAAAATCCATCCACCCTTTATAATAGTTTGCGAAAGTGGACAAATTGGAAACTACTTTAACTCACAAAGAGGTAATACTCAGTCGAAAATATCACAAGGATCCATTCTCAAATAATCTCTTACCAGTAAGGACGTGGTATGTGTCCTCTGATTGATAATTTTGCTATTAAATGTCACTGCAGGATAAACGGCTATGACCCTAGGCCTCCAGAACTAAGTGGTTTTATCGCCAAATGACACTACGAGATAACGGTTATAGCCAGAGCCAATATATTCCTTAGTGACATTAAATCCTTGAGACCTGAATAAATAGGATATAATCGATAGGGCATAAAGCCCACTGTTAGCTAAGGTGGATTCGAATTTGTCCCATTAGACAAATATCCACCCCGGGTCTATAAGGTACCGTTGGCCGAAGCAACCCATGACTATCGATAAGGATCTTTTTGTTAGGTTGGGTCGACTACCTCCTCTGACTATGT